ATAATGTGGTAGGAACGGATAACCCCTTGTATAGTACAAAATCTCAATAAGGTGCCTAATAGAGGCTCCCAATTATGGTATATGATTCCTTTCAGAATGGGGGCTATTTCAATTCCACAAAGGTTGCTCCAACTTTGCTCAACATGTTTCGCGACTAAGAGGCCACTTCCTCAGGAGCTAATTGGTGCACTTGTGTGAAAAGCAGGTATACATTATAATCAAAGTAGTATACGATTGATAAACAATTGTTATGAGAGTGAAGCTTGGTTCTTTTAATTACAGGTAAACAAATTACAGTAGAATTATGTAACTGACCATGGAGAGCAGAGACCATAGGGACCAACACATTTGGGTGTCTGGACATGGGGGCACACCAGAAAGCTGCAAAGGGTACCATAAGGAACAGAATAAAAAGCCTATTGAGATTCCAATTAGGTGAGAACCCCAAAATCACGAGGGGAAAAAGAGAGTAATCACACTGGGTCAATACTTGCAGATAAGAATAAGATTTTAATCACTGAGTTTACATATAAAATGTTCAAACCAAGAAATACAGAAAGAAGCATCATGCCAAAACCGGATGAAAGAATCCAAGATACTTTTAATTGTTGGGTAAATAAGTCATAGACACATCCAATGTGTTTGGGGGAAACTACAATCCCCCTTTATCAGGGCTCAATATAGGATAAAACTTGGAGAAAACTGTGACTTCACAGGGCTATATTAGAACAAGCATTGAACTTCCCGCATAGTCAGAGCAGTTGCTGAGCAGCAATAGAGCCATATACAAGGATGAGCCATAACTTTATCATCAACCCATTATAACCACCTAATAAAAAGTAGGTCCCCCTTTTTGCCCTGACCCATTGAGGCATACATTCCACTAGACCTGCTGTTGTATCCTGAACCAAGCCATCAGTAGCATATCCTTAAGTCATACTTTCTCCACTGGCTTGCCTTCTTCCCATAGTGCATCCTGGTGCCACCTCTTCCCCAGGGAAGTGACACACACACACAGCCATCCACATGATGTAAAAGAAAACATGATTCATCAGACCAGGCAATCTTCTTCCATTGCTCCATGTTCTGTTTTGATGCTCTTCTGTCCATTGTAGGTGCCTTTGGCAGTGGACACAGATCAGCATGGGCACCCTGAACGGTCTGCAGCAACGCAGCCCCATACACAACAAACTGCAATGCATGGTGTGTTCTGACACCTTTCTATCAGAACCAGCAATGTGAGCTACCGTAGCTCTTCTATTGGAAATGAGTAAACAGGCCAGGCCTTTCCTCCCACATGCATCAATGAGCCTTGCTGCCCTTGACCCTGTTACTGGTTTTCCTTCCTTGGACCACTTTTGGTAGGTCCTGACCACTGCACTCCGGGAACATCCCACAAGAGTTGCAGTGTTAGAGATGCTCTGACCCAGTTGTCTAGCTATTACAATCTGGCCCTTGTCAAAGTCACTAAAATCTTTATGCTTGCCCATTTTAATGCTTTCAACAATCAACTTCTGGGACAACATGTTCACTTGCTTCCCAATATATCCCACCCACTTTCAGATGCCATTGGAACAAAATAATTCATGTTATTCACTTTACCTGTCAGTGGTCATAATGTTATGGCTGATCAGTGTGTACATATCCAATGTGACATGACAGAAACATATTTATGGAGACTTGTAAAGAAAATGATAGGTCCACTGTAAATAGAATTCCAACAACCCAAATATTCATTTAACTACAAATGCACTCCAGTAAATGTTGTGTCAGCTTTAATCTGGCACTTTTAATACAAAGAGTCCACTGTAACACAAATTCGTCTGAAGAGTCATACAATACTTTGTATATTTCAGTGCAACTGCATTCCCAACAATGGCCATCTCAAAGATGCTTCTAAGGTTGCTACCTTTCCTGGGAAAAAATACCAGCCTTCTGATCTCTTTTCCTATTAGTAACATTGGCAGCAAGCCCTACAGCCATGCCAGGAAATTACCAGTGTGACTGCAGCTCCTTGTTGGCACATTAAAATCTAGGATAATTCATGAATATACTATGTGGTTGTACTTGTGCTGCAATATTTCCAGAGGATTATGAATTACACTAAAATGATACCAAGAATTAAAACTGAGGTTTATAACAATAACTTAACAGGACATGACAGATGAATCACAGCAAAAATACATACTTATGGTAACTAAGCATGCAGTCTAGATAAATCCAGCCAGTGAAATAGATGGTGTGTGCTTTAAAATGTATTTAACCCCAACACCACGGTAATATATTGCAGTTTACCAGTCCCTAGATTTGTTGACAGCATTCGTTTTTTTTTTTTTTCTTTTTTTCTTTTTTTTTTAGGCTTTTTTAAAATTATTATATATTTTCACCTGGTAGTCCTGCCAATAACAGAAAGTGAGTTAAGAATACAGAAGAACATCTCTCCTTCTCCTCATCTCCAAAACATGGGGAAGGTGGGGGGTGTAGTCCACCAAAGTTAACTGGACAGGGCTGATCACATCTATTGAAATGCAGTATAGCACTGGTCGAGGCCTTAGGGAGTTACGCGTTCACTGGATTTCTCTCAGGATCAATAGGTAATTTTTTTGTATCTGCAGCTTTTTGTTTATTACATTCTTTATTTTTCATTTTGCAAAGAAATTTAGTAATTTTTTCTTTTAATTTTGCTTATACTTACATTTGACTTTATTGGCAATGGCTACTGCTGGAATGTGGATTTTTCTCCACTTTTTTGTGTTCAATATTATATTGAGCAAGTACAATACACAGAAGAAGGTTTTACATTTCCACAGTGATAGTAGGGTAACAACTTAAAATTCCAAGCATAAGACAAAATATTCTCCAATGACATATGTGGCCACAAAGTTTAGACTAAAAGCTAACCTGAAGCCTATACATAGAAAGGTAACTGTGTTTTGCTGATGAACAGTATCATTAGTAATAATCAGCACAGATTTATGAAAGCTCGTTCTTACCAGATCAATACGTTCGCATTCTATGAGGAAGTGAGCTGTCCTCTATTTATTATTTATTTTAGGTACTTATATAGCGCCGTCAATTTACGCATTTACACATATATATTGTACATTCACATCAGTCCCTAACCCTCAAGGGGTGTACAATCTAAGGTCCCTAACTCACATTCATACATACACATACTAGGGACAATTTAGACAGGAGCCAATTAACCTACCAGCATGTCTTTGGAGTGTGGGAGGAAACCGGAGTACCCGGAGGAAACCCACGCAGGCACAGGGAGAACATGTAAACTACAGGCAGGTGGTGCCGTGGCTGGAATTCGAACCAACAACCCTAGAGCTGCCAGGCGGAAGTGCTAACCATTTAGCCACTGTGCTGCCCCAATAAAAGATAAAGGAAGGTCTGTGGATGTAGTGTATCTGGATTTTGCAAAAGCATATGATACAGTCCCCCATAAATGTTTAATTTACAAATGGAGGTCTGTTGGCATGGCCCTTAGGGGTATGTATCTAGATAGAAAACTAGTTACAGGGGCCCATCCAAGGGGTGGTGATAAATAGATTAGAATGCTCTGTGGAGTGCTACGTGGGTTGCCCCACATCTCTATGTTCTGGGACCAATTCTGCTTAATTTATTTATAAATGGTATAAATAGCTCAACCTCAGTGTTTGCTGATGATACAAAACTAAGCTGAGCAGTCATTTCACAGCAGGATAGTGAAACTTTACAAGAAGATCTCAATAAAATAAAGGGGCGGGCAAATATAGGGCAAATGAAGTTTCATGTTGAAAAATGTAAAGTAATGCACTTGGGGGCTAAGAATATACATGCAAATTACTTGCTAGGGGAGAACCTTTGGGGAAATCCAGGATGGAAAAAAGATTTTGGGGGGGGTCCTAGTAGATCACAATCTCCGCAATGAAATGCCATGTTGCAGCAAGCAAAATTTGCTCTACAATGGATTGCGGGGATAGCAAATATTGAGCCCATGGATCTTTTCAAATTTTCTTTCAGTATTGATTATGCTAGTAATCTTCTCATGCGTCATAATCCATGAAATCCTTTACTTGGCCTGTTCTAAGGAAAGAATAAATTAAAAGGTACTGATCCTGCCAGGTCCTATATTTAGTATTTATATGCACCAAAGGGGAGGGAGCACACCACAAGACCACTGTATCAAAAAGTTACCATAAAAAATGGACTTTGCTCTGTACCTCAACCCTGACCAAAATTATCTGTACTCCGCAATTGTGAATAAATTATTTATCCAAAAATGAACTAATATTGACAGATATTTTGAACATACAACTTCTATTTATTGATTAAAAGAACCAAAACATTCTAAACACAAAAATACCCATTAAAATCTGATAAGACATGTCTAAAGACCAATGATGTATCTTTTCAATGTGAGGGCTCCCAAGCACCTCCAGTGTCCTGCCGAGAAGGGGAGAGATGTGCGGGAAGCCCTGGAGAGACTAACCGGGGAGAGGGGTGGCCTGCCTGGCGTGGACCGAGGACCTCAGGGAGTGGCGGCCATAGTGGTGGGTCTTCCTGTGCTCTCGGCCCGACGCTGTGTGTTCCCCAGAGCTCAGTGGACGCCGGGCGATCAGGTGATCTGCCGCAAGTGAGCTCTGGGAGGCAGAGGATCCGAACGGCGTTTCTTGGCGCAAGGGAGACGCCGGCTGTCTTCCTCTTGCACACAGGACCGTGGCAGCTGGAGACACGCGGAAACGGGCTGGGTGACCCCCCCCCCCCTGCAAAACACTCATTGTGTGAGAGGAATGTCGAGTGCAATGTTCCCCAGAAGGGAATACTTGAGCTGCCTCACCCCTCGGCGTAAAGGAAGAGATGTCCTAAAGTGCTGGAAAATTTCTCAGAGAAGTTCAATCTCTATAGAAACCAGAGATCTCACATGGGGGGAGAAGTATTCCTGTTTTGAGTGCGGGAAATGTTTTTCATGTAAGTCCTATTTTTATATATGCCAGTGATAATACAAGAGGGAGCAGCCATACCCTTGTTCAGAGTGCGGGAAATGTTTTTCATAGAAGTCCAGCCTGCATATATATCAGAGACCTCCCATGAGGAAGATGCTATATCCTTGTTCTAAGTGCGGGAAGTGTTTTCTCAGACAAAAGTAGACTTTACATATATCAGAGATCTAACACAGGTGAAAAGCCATATGTCTGTCCTGAGTGCGGGAAATACTTTTCAGTGAAGCTTAGTCTTCCACACATCAGAGATCTTACGCGGAGGAGTAGTTGCATACCTGTCCAGAGTGCGGGAGATGTTTTTCATGTAAGTCCTATTTTTAGATACAGGTGAAACTCAAAAATTAGAATATCGTGCAAAAGTTCATTTATTTCAGTAATGCAACTTAAAAGGTGAAACTAATATATGAGACTCATTACATGCAAAGCAAGATAGTTCAAGCCGTGATTTGTCATAATTGTGATGATTATGGCTTGCAGCTCATGAAAACCCCAAATCCACAATCTCAGAAAATTAGAATATTACATGCAATCAATAAAACAAGGATTGTACATAGAACAATATCAGACCTCTGAAAAGTATAAGCATGCATATGTACTCAGTACTTGGTTTGGGCCCCTTTTGCAGCAATTACTGTCTCAATGCGGCGTGGCATGGAAGCTATCAGCCTGTGGCACTGCTGAGGTGTTATGGAAGACCAGGATGCTTCAATAGCGGCCTTCAGCACTTCTGCATTGTTCAGTGTCATGTCTCTCATCTTTCTCTTGGCAATACCCCATAGATTCTCTATGGGGTTCAGGTCAGGCAAGTTTGCTGGCCAATCAAGCACAGTAATCCCACGGTCATTGAACCAGGTTTTGGTGCTTTTGGCAGTGTGGGCAGGTGCCAAGTCCTGCTGGAAAATTAAGTCAGCATCCCCATAAAGCTCGTCTGTGGAAGGAAGCATGAAGTGCTCCAAAATCTCCTGGTAGACGGCTGCATTGACCCTGGACTTAATGAAGCACAGTGGACCAACACCAGCAGATGACATGGCTCCCCAAATCAACACAGACTGTGGAAACTTCACACTGGACTTCAAGCATCTTGCAGTGTGTGTGTCTCTCCATTCTTCCTCCATACTCTGGGTCCTTGGTTTCCAAATGAGATGCAAAAGTTGCTCTCATCAGAAAAGAGGACTTTGGACCACTGAGCTACAGACCAGGTCTGTTTTTCTTTAACCCAGGTAAGACTCCTCTGACGTGGTTTGTTGTTCAGGAGTGGCTTGACAAGAGGAATACGACATTTGAAGCCCATGTCCAGGATCTGTCTGTGCGTGGTGGCTCTTGATGCACTGACTCCAGCCTCAGTCCACTCCTTGTGAAAGTCCCCAACACTTTTGAATGGCCTTTTCCTGACAATCCTCTCCAGGCTGCGGTCATCCCTGCTGCTTGTGCACCTTTTTCTTCCACACTTTTCCCTTCTACATAACTTTCTATTAATGTGCTTTGATACAGCAGTTTGGGAACATCCAATTTCTTTTGCAATTACCTTTTGAGGCTTTCCCTCCTTATAGAGGGTGTCAATGATGGTTTTCTGCACAACTGTCAGGTCAGCAGTCTTTCCCATGATTCTGATTCCTACTGAACCAGACTGAGAGACCATTTAAAGGCTCAGGAACCCTTTGCAGGTGTTATGGCTTAATTCGCTGATTAGAGTGGGACACTTTGAGCCTAGAATATTGCACCTTTTCACAATATTCTCATTTTCTGAGATTGTGGATTTGGGGTTTTCATGAGCTGTAAGCCATAATCATCACAATTATGACAAATCACGACTTGAACTATCTTGCTTTGCATGTAGTGAGTCTCTCATATATTAGTTTCACCTTTTAAGTTGCATTACTGAAATAAATGAATTTTTGCACGATATTCTAATTTTTCGGGTTTCACCTGTATACCAGTGATAATACAAGAGGGAGCAGCCATACCCTTGTTCAGAGTGCCGGAAATGTTTTTCACAGAAGTCCAGCCTGCATATATATCTCACCACACATGAGACCTCACATGAGGAAGATGCTATATCCCTGTTCTAAGTGCGGGAAATGTTTTCTCAGATAAGTCTAGACTTTACATATATCAGGGATCTTACACAGGTGAAAAGCCATATGTCTGTCCTGCGTGCGGGAAATACTTTTTAGTGAAGCCTAGTCTTCACACACATCAGAGATCTAACACGGAGGAGAAGTTGTATACCTGTTCGGATTGCGGGAAATGTTTTTCAGAGAAGCCCTTTTCTTCATATATGACAGAGATCTCATACGGGGGAAAAGCCGTATTAGGGATAAGAGGGTGAGCGAGAGCGGCAACAGTACTGAGTTCCCCCCCCCCCCACCCCCAAAACCAGAACTGCGGAAAATTGAAATAGTCCCTGACTGCATGAAAAACAAAGTATCAAAGGGAGGAGGGCCTATACCCTTCTGTGTGGTAAATGGATCTTCTTAATGCCCAACGCTAGCCAAAGCCTATTTTTTTGGGCAAATGTAACAGGTATTTTGTTTAGCCAGTGTTTGTGATCCAACACGTTTCTCATTGAAGCACAAATTCTTCATCAGGGATACGTTATAAGAAAACAAACTGCTGCTTTATGACCATAAGGCTACGTTCACATGGCCATAACATTTTTTTTACTGATCATATTATGCATGTTTTTTTTCTAGCAAAAAAGTTCCTTGGTAATGAGTGAATCCATGTGTAAAACTGTCCTGTTTTATTTTTCTTATTTTTCTCCCAATACCTGCTTCTGATATGTGTATACATATGTCCTCAGACACAGACTTTTGGATTCTGTGTTATGGATCTAAATGCAGTGCATGTTTTGCACCAGTGTAAATGTCTTTTTTAAGAACAATGGAGCTGTGTTCAGGTCCCTATATAAAAAATGTTTGTAAATGCGTTTTGCTTTTGTTTTTTTATGGCTATGTGAAAGAGGCCTACTACAGTTCTTACTATTTATAAACTGTTTGCTACAATTAATATATCTTTTTTTTTTTCCAAAAAAGAGGTGTTTATTGAAAACAAAACACACAGATTGATACAAGACAGAATAAAATTTCAAACGGGTTGAACATAGGTCATGTGGCAAAACATATATCATACAGAAGAGCATGAAATCCAAAGCAGAAATGAACAAATTGGATGAGTAAAACCACGACAAGGTTGTGCCTGCAATATTCCAGTGTGCTTGTCAAACGAATAGAGCAAGAAGGCACCAGGCATTCTACAGTAATGACAATTAATATATCTTAACTCCTAATGTAACACAGTGGCTTAGTAGTAAGCACAGCTTCCTTGCAGCACTGGGGTCCTTAGTTGGAATCCTGGCCAGGACACTATCTGCTTAAAATTTCCATGTTCTCCCTCTGTTTGCAGGGGTTTCCTCCCACACTGCAAAGACCTGCTGGTATGCTAATTGGTCCTTCTATGTGTGTGCATGTATGTAAGATAGGGACCTCAGACTGTAAGCTCCTTGGTCAGGACAAGGTCAGATGATAATGAACAGTATGTAAAGCGTGATGTAACTTCTTGGTGCTATATAAATACCTGTGATAAATACATAACTTATGTTTATGGATTCCGAGGACTTGTTGGTCCTGTATAAGTACCAGTGCTAAATACATAATGTATGTTAATGGATTCCATGGATATGGAAATATCATATGTACACATAAGTAAAATACACTGAAATTGTGCTAGAACTTGTCACTTACACCATCTATTGACTGAATGAAAAACTGCAGCTCTATATTAAAGTGTTACTAAACCCACAACCGTAAAATCAGTCTGTATATGCAGTAAAGCATGCTCGTTATACTCACTGTGGAACCTAAGGGGTTAACCCTCTGCATTGTGTAAAAAGGCTGTTTGATCCTGTCTTCTCTGCTTCTCCTCTTGTTCAAATGTTTACAACTTATCTCCTGATATGATAGACTGAACCATAGCCATTCTGCTCATACTCAGTTTAGTGTGTAATGCTAGAGAGGTTTTTTTTTTTTTTTTTTTAGTCTTGGGAGAGTGCATGTGATCAGCACAGGGCCAATCAGCACTGTCCAGACAGAGGTCAGGGGTTTTTGCATCCTCCTAGAACAGTGGTCTCCAAACTGTGGCCCGAGGGCCAGATGCGGCCCTTTGCTTGCTTTTATCTGGACCTTGGAGCCCTGTTTTATCCACTGATACCACCAATGGGGCATAATTCCCTCCACTGACACCAATGGAGGAGCACAAATTCTCCCAATGACATCAATTATGGGGCACAATTCCTCACAATGACACCAACAATCAGGCCCAATGACACCAATCATGGATCACAATTCCTCCCAATGACACAAACGATGGGGTGCCACTGCTCCCACTAAAACCAAAGAAGGGGCATGGTTTATTCCCACTGACATTAGGACCTTTTCTACTCCCAATGGCCATAGTCCAGCCTCCCTAAAGTCTGAAGGGCAGCAAACTGGCCCTTTGTTTAGAAAGTTTGGAGACCCCTGTCCTAGAGCAGAAAGAAAACTCCTACAAGCTTTAACATGTCTCCTGCTGAACACTGATAGAAGTCACAAGACTGCTCCAACTGCTGATAAGAAAAGGTATTTAGCAGTTTATATTTACTAAAATAATTGCACTTCCATGTTCTGTGTACTGTGGCAGACAGGTATAGTGAATGCAGGGTCCTGGGTTTAGTAACATTTTAGGGTAGAACTGAATGCAAAACTTTTTTTTTTTCTTTTTGGGAAGTAAGGAGGGTTAAAACCTGTGTCAAATTTTTTATGCTAAATTAACGAGAATTACGGTATTCCTCCTATATAAAAACACATTAGATGCACAAAAACACTTTAACCCCAAAAAGTGTATAAATCAAGTTTTATAAAGTGCTAATAAACAACAGATAAACTATAAAAATAAATAATATTAAAAATAAGAAATGTCCAAAATAAATGTCCAAAAACTATGAAAAGTCCTTAAAAACTTAAATATTCCAGCAAAGTGATGGTCCCAATTATTCGTGGAGATCGAACCTCAAAAAAAAGGAGAACTCACATAGTGTAATACCTTAGATGCATAGAATAAAGCAAACATCACTGCAAACGCATGTGAATCGCACTGAACCACATGCATGTGAACCACACTAAACCACACATGGTGAAGAAGAGTGAGTATAAGTGTGAAAACATGAATAACACTTGCATGCAGTGTCAAACCGTGAGAGTGTCCACATCTAATGGATAATATACCATTACCAGAAATGCAGCAAACACCAGCATATAGATCCCATTCAGGAGATCACTTTATAGATTCAGCCATTGGAACATCCATTCCTCATCTATATATCCATCCACCAGCCAGGCTGCAGTAGTAAGATATATTCCACAATGTCCCTCTCAAACGCTTAATCCAGGATAATACCACCAGAACTCAACCATACAGCTTTCTTCATAAAAGAAACTTTAATAAAAATAGTTCATATAGACGTCACTTCCCTTTGACGCGTTTCGTCACCTGACTTAATCATAAAGGGTCCCTTTATGATTAAGTCAGGTGACTAAACGCGTCAAAGGGAAGTGACGTCACGACGCACAGCACAACCGGAAGTCGTCCGGCGGCCATCTTTAGTCTTGGAATTTGCTCACACAACTACAGGGAGAGCGTTCCTGAAGATCTACAGAGTGTTTGGCTGTGCTGATTTTATTTATGTATGTTCTATATGAACTATTTTTATTAAAGTTTGCTTTTATGAAGAAAGCTGTATGGTTGAGTTCTGGTGGTATTATCCTGGATTAAGCGTTTGAGAGGGACATTGTGAAATATATCTTGAGGGATCTTACTACTGCAGCCTGGCTGGTGGCAATAAGTGGATGGATATATAGATGAGGAATCGATGTTCCAATGGCTGAATCTATAAAGTGATCTCCTGAATGGGATCTATATGCTGGTGTTTGCTGCATTTCTGGTAATGGTATATTATCCATTAGATGTGGACACTCTCACGGTTTGACACTGCATGAAAGTGTTATTCATGTTTTCACACTTATACTCACTCTTCTTCACCATGTGTGGTTTAGTGTGGTTCACATGCGTTTGCAGTGATGTTTGCTTTATTCTATGCATCTATGGTATTACACTGTGAGTTCTCCTTTTTTTTTAGGTTCGATCTCCACAAATAATTGGGACCATCACTTTGCTGGAATAACCACTCTGCTGATTGCTCTTAGGAGGACTTTTCATATTTAAGTTTTTGGACATTTATTTTGGACATTTCTTATTTTTAATTTTTATTATTATTTTTATTTTTATAGTTTATTTATCTGTTGTTTATTAGCACTTTATATAACTAAATTTTTTTTATGTCCCATTGAAGAGATTTCCTTAACCACTTCAATACTAGAGACTTTCACCCCCTTCCTGCCTAGGCCAGTTTTTAGCTGTCAGCGCTCTCACACTTTGACAATTACACTGTCATGCAACACTGTACCCAAATAAAATTTTTATCATTTGTTTGAGACAGAGCTTTCTTTTGATGGTATATAATAGTGATGCACCGATATATCGGCTGCTGAAAATTATACGTCGAAAATAGGGTTATCGGCTATATCCCATTGACTTCAATGCAAAAACGCCCCCTATTGCCATCAATGCAAAAAACGCCCCATATTGACTTCAATGCAAAAACGCCCCCTGTTGACTTCAATGCAACTTCAATGCGAAAAACACCCCCTATTGACTTCAATGCAAAACTGCCTCTATTTTAAGTTTTTAAATTTTATATACATTTTATTTTCTGTCCAATTTTTGTGTTACTTTCAGTAAAGGTTATTTTACGTTACTGGGTTGTGTTTTTTTAAATGAATATTAATATAAATTCATGATATTATTTAAAAAGTAGAATATAATACAACTATATATAATTTTTTTTTCCTTTTTAAACTGTCCATTTGCAGGTAAAGGGTGTGTGTCTGACTAAAGTTGAATAATACCCTTGCTATAGGTGTAGGCCATTTTACATACCTCATGAAGCCCAGCTGGACATTGCTGGGATGTTGCTAAGTGAGGCCTAGTCATTACTGCTCACCTCCACCATCACAAGAGTGAGCTTTTCCTCAGATTCAGACCCCCACACATGCTCTTTCTTTCCCTCGATATAGTAGCTCTGAGCTCAGCATCTGAGAGCTCGCTCCTGTGATGGAGGAGGTGAGCAGTAACATGTAGGCCTCACTTAGCAATGTCCTGGGAGTATTCCAGTCAGGCTTCATGAGGTACGTAAATGGCCTACACCTATAGCAAGGGCATTATTCAACTTTAGTC